CCCCCCCCCCCCAATAAATAAATAAATAAATAAAAGCCTGGGAAGCAGACAACAGTAAGCACGTTTCAACTTCCTGCACTGGTGTTACATCCAGGTTAGTTTCTTCTTATCTCTCCTTAGGCTGCATCCCTTTGTTCTCATTAATGTAATGTTGGCTCTTCTGCTTTTCTTTGCACTAAACCCAAGAAGATGAATCAAAACTGCTCTGAGTCACATCAGGTACCAAACTTGAAAGAACAGAATGTACAAAGGGAGGATCAAACCAAAGCTGCCTCACCTTGGCCCAGCCCTTTTTTTTTTTTTTGTCCTTCTTGCATAACTAGGTTTATATAATTACTGTAGAACACTAGCTCTGGAATTATAATTTATTACAAGTGCTTACCTCTGCAGTATCTAACTTCTGCTACAAACTAATGTACAGTGGCACCCTTTGGATGCTAAGACATGACAGTTTGATGTGGAAGGAATGTATTGGGTATTAGGCATGAAATTTGTAGTGACTTTTTTCCTTTCTCTTGTCTGCAGAGAACTTACATTTTCACCTTCCTGCTCAGTTCACGACTGTTCATGCACCCTTTCGAATTAATGGCCAAGGTCTGTGATTTGTGTGTGGAGCACCAGAGACTAAGTGAACCTGGGAATGACAAGGTAAAGTCCCTGGCTAAAAACTCAAACCTCTCTTTCCAATTCCAAGGTACAACTTTTTCTTATTAGTGGGTCCTGAACACCTGGCATCAGTGTGCTATAAGCAACACTTTTAATTCCCTTTTAAGGAGAAGGGTCAGAGAGAGGAAATGCAATAATTTATTTAATATAATGCATTATACTGTGGTGCCAGGTGTCATAAGGCAATAGTGTAACTATAAAGGGTGGGAAGGGGGGTTACTGGAGCAGCAGCCATAAGTGCTAACTTGGGGTGGGTGTAAACATAATAGTTGCCACCACTGTTGGCCAGCCACACCACAGTTGCCAGGAACCACTGTTGCCCTGTGTAGAGCTGCCCTGTTACACCTCCATTTCAAGGTATCCAAACACCTAGACATGGTAGTCCACAGTCTTGCAAAGATGGAATCTGCAGTTTGTGACATTGCCTGAAGAAGGGTACAGAGATATGCAATACCTTGACTTTGTCTATACCAATCATACAGTTGGTCCAGTATGAGATACTGCCCATGAGAATTCTTGCTTTTGCATTAAGTGTAGTATACAAGCAATGTCACCTCAACACTACCATACTTCAGTTAAACACCCTTTTGAAAGGTTACTAAGATTGTAAGCTCTTTGAAGTCAATTTTTTTTCATTCTGTGTTTGTCCATCAGTGAGCCCAGTGGGGGTCCTCCTTCATAAGTTCCTCCAAGTACTACCACAGTATCAAAAACTTGAATAACACCATTAAGTCTTTACACATGCTCTAAAGTTTTTAAGCCTTTCCAGATTAGAGACTTTGTTGAAATTACTTATGTTGTTGTATAATGGTTATGAACCATATTTTTTGGAGGCACTCACTTGCCTAGCATGTGGAGTTTTTTTTACTTTGGTGACCTGGCAAACGTTAAACCAAGTAAATGCATGCCCTTTGCCCAAGTCCAGTTAGCCAATTTAAAGTCTTTCCATTCATTTCAATGGCCTGTGGCTCAGGTTCTTATCCAATGTGGAGTTTTTTTTCACTTGGCTTTAGTTTATGCACACTTGTTCCACGGTTGTAGAATCCCTTAAGGGGAAATCTGAGTTTGCTTCAGCTATCTTTAAATATTTGTCTTTCTTACAACCCTCTCCTTCCCATCTATTCCTTTAACTAGAACCAGATACAAAAAATTGCCCCCAAAATCCTACAGCTGCTGACTGAGTGGACAGAGACATTTCCTTATGACTTCCGGGATGAAAGAATGATGAGGAACCTGAAGGAGTTATCACAACGAATAGCAAGTGGTGATGAGGTTTGTATTCTGCACTGAAGCCCAAGAGGCATTAGTTGTATGTCTTCAGAGTGAAATATTGATGGTTGTATAGCATAAGGAGGCCATCTCATTTTGGAAGTTTTAAGCAGATAAGTGGATGGTCCCTTGAAATATCTAAATAAGCACTAATCAGTGCAGTAGTTCACATGAGTGCACATGAACACACACTGTTCTCTTTGCCTCCTTCCATACATTTTTTAGCATGAGGTTTTTTCTGGTATCCCAGTTCCCATAAAAAGTTCTTGGGTGACCATTTAATTTTTGGCCACATTAGGGCATCATTGTATGTTTGCATGAACATACACTTCCTTGTAGGTTTTATTTTAGCAGCTGTTCTTGGATGAAGTTGGATGTGACCCTGAATATTCTTGATTTACCCCAGTACTCCTTACTGATATAAATAGATGCATTGAAATCATGAGGCAGATGTTCCGGGATTGGGCCTTTGATTTACAAAATCCATAGCTGAGGGATGGCTGTCTTCAGGAAGAAAATTTCTAAAGGGAAGACATGTCTTGTGCATAAGGTACTGGGTTTGAACTTTGATCACAGTTGTGCCCCTCGCTGTGACTATTTCCCAGGAAACATGGAAAGTCATTAATTTGTCTATGTCCCAGCTTCAGAAGAGCACTTGCATCTCTGCAGTTAGTTGGTTTGGATGGCACTTGAGGTCCTACCCAATCCTATGATTTGGTTCTCAGATAGAGATGCACTTCTCTGCCAAGTAAATACTTAGACAGAAATACATCCAGAATTTTGGGCACTATAGCTACTTTTTATTTTAAAAAATTAAAGAAGTTTTTCAATAAACACAGAATGTAGATCATGTGAGCAGCACAGGAAGGTTACCAAATATGCCAATTTGATATTTGGAAGTACTAAAAATGGAGGCCAATTACTAAATGGTGTATTTACTGGCACTCCCCAGGGGCTGGTGTTAATCCCAGTGTTATGTAAGCTTTTCCATAGTTATATAAAAAGGGGGTATAAACAGCATGATGATGAAGTTGTAGATTATAATATATTAGGAGTTGCAAATACTGCCAAAGACACAGAAGGATCTTAAAATACTAGGAGCAAGGCCTAGAAAAAAGAATTAAATTGAACTTGGAAGCAGAAGAAAAAAATATGTATCCTGGTGGGGAAAATAAACCCAAAATATAGATTTTGAATATAGAGGGGAAGCAACTAAGGAGATGAGGGGAAGCATGTATAGAAATTGGATTGAGTACTATTGCAATGTGATGTTTCTATAAAATAGGCTGAATTTACTAAGGTGGTATGTCATGGAGCAGGAAGATAACTTCTTCCTTGCTCTGATGTTGCTGCACCTGAAATGTTGAATGGGGAGTACAGGGTTGGTCCTGGATGCTTTATAATCAAAAAGATTGACAAATTGAAGTTGGTTCAAATAAAAGAATTAGTGGACTAGAGTTGTTGGCTTGTGAATTGATGATTAATGTACCCATGTCTACGAACGAATGAGAAGGAATTAGGGTGATTCAAGGTGTTGACCCATGTAGAAAAACTGTGCAAGTTTAAGATGGCAGAGCGGGGAAGGTTATGTATTAGAGAATTTCTGGCAGTACAACGTGTTAATGGAATAAATTACCAAGGCAAATGTTTGTCTCAAGTGAAGAAGCACTATTGCTCGACTGGACAAAACAGTAAAAATTGTCCTATAGGGAGTAATCCTCACTTGGTAAGAAGATAGACTGGGTAGTCAAACAGGTCTCTTCAGTCTCTGACATCTGTCTCTGAGCAACCTTATGATTCCTTTTAACAAGAGATGAGGGTTGCAGTAGAGTTTGGCATGAGTCAAGGTGGTGAGTGGGCTGACTTTTAGAATGGTGAAATACACATTGTTTTGATGTTGCTTCTTTCTGACTACACTGAAACTGAGTAGCATCACGTGGATTGGTGTATACAAGTCAGGGGCTTGAAAGGTTGAACGTTGGAAAGGTTTTGGCCATAAGATGGAAAATAATCAGTTTCCTATTGCCACTAAATTTGCCTCTGATTTTAACCTCCTGTTTCCCTGTGTCACTGTTATAAAACCTTAGTATCAAGAGCCTAATGTACCCTAGACTGAGCATAATAAATATCTTATGTTTGTTCTTAAACCAGTGAATTTAAGGGTTCTAAATTAGAAAGGCTTGGGACTACAATTCTCTCAGCTCATGTGTTCTTGTTCAGAAAACAGCTTTGCTCAGGAGGTAATTATGCAAGGTACCCGCACAACTCTTGAAGGTATGCTTGGGAGGACTACCTTTTGAGGGCAAGTGAGTAGGTGGTTCTCCCCAACTCACAGGGTTCTTGCTTTCTTGCTGGGATGAGACCATCAGGGAAGGTAGTGGTGAATGCTGATGGCAGTGGTGGTTGTTTCTCACATGAAGACTTATTGGGGTAAATACAGAGGTTGATTAGACCCAATAGGCTTAGGTAGTCTATGTGCCCCTAAAATATTTTTTTTTCCTGTTTACTTTTTTTAGGATTTTTTTATTTTTATTTATTTATTTATTTATTTTTTGTCCAGCCTAGTCATAAGTGTGGCAGCTGATAAGCTATCCTTTGGGAGCGCATTCACCAAACTAATGGGGCTACCAGCAGGCTCCACTTCTCCTACTTCTGGGTATGGGTCCCCCTCCTACCACCTTTAATTTACACTAGGCAAATGTCTCTAGACTGCTATACTCCCATTTTTACTTGGCTAAGCAGTCAGTCTTACCTATCTAGGCTGTTCCTAATCAATTTCCCACCAGTCTTGCTTGTAGAATCCTGAGCATGAGCATATGCAGCTTGTCACACCAGTGCTACATATAAAGAAGGCTGTTACTATTTATCATGATGTGACACTTTTGTATATGCAGCCCAAAATTGAATTGACCTTTTTTTGGCTGCTGTATTGCGTAAGGAGATTGATGGTGCAAACACATTATTTAACATACGCCGTCAAACATCCATCAGATAGTAATGACTTTCGGTCACTATCAGGTTAGGACAGACACATACAGGTGACCTAAAGGTGAAAGGCTCTGTATCCCATTACTGTCATGCCATCCACTCTCTGGAGGCTTTTCAAATATAAATAAATACCAACATTGTTTCAAGGCATGAATTCTAACCAGCGATGCAAATGTGCTGGTGGTTTTTGAAAGTTAAAAATGACAGAATAACAAACCTTTGTGACGTATAGATATTGTGCATGGCAACCCAAATTGTGAAAATAACTTGCAAGTAGAGTGATAAGTCAGTAATGAGGCAACATTGCAAATTGAAATACAAATTGTGCATTGCCCAAGGGGTGGTATGTACGTCGAATGTTGAAATATGCTGAGTTTATGGGAGTTGCAAAGCCCGTGTCTCACTCATGTCTCGCAAAGAAAGCACCTCTTCTCAGTTCGCATGAATAACATGGCAGACAAACTCTTATTTGTCTGAGAGAATGTAAATATAATATGCCTTTCCTTGAACTATTGAATCAAAAACCCTAATCTGTGTATCTGTAGGATGTCTTACGCCACCAAGGGGAAAACTGATTACTCAATGTCTGTCTCTGAACAACTATTGAGGGGGACAAACTGTTTTTCCTTTTTTTTTTTTTTTTTAAAAAAAGGAAACCAATAGATCAGTTTGTCTTGCTTTGGGGAACAAGCAGTGATTCCAGCAGCATGTTGGGGCACAAGGTGCCACAAGTTGAATTCTAAAATACAAAGTCATAATCTGCTACTGTTTCTTAGATAATTGCTTTCAGATTACAGATTTTTCAGGGCCTGTCAATTTATAAGTGTTTTCTGTACATCATAAATGTGCAAAAAAAAAAAGATGTTGAAACCAAATTTTCAAACAATGAACAGCACAAGCTGCTGTTGAACCCTGCATCTCACTTAGCCACAATCTACCTAGGAGAGTTTACACAATGAGGGAAACTAGATCCGAGAGGGAAGCAAAACCACAGGTTCCCTCCCTGTTCCTCAGACCAGATAGTTCCTGGGCTGGAGATCATGCAAGATGTCTTGATGCAGAACTGAAACTATTCTTAGCTCCAGCATTTAAGGAACTTCGGAAGAAAGCTTTAAATGATATCTTCATCTCTTCCTGAAGATAGACATACCAAAAATATATTGGGCTACCAGAGTGGAAATAATTTTAATATGTATGAGTTCCCATTGGTGCACACGTTTATAGTTAATGCTGCATACCCTGCTCCCAGATCTTCCTGCCTGTGGCAGATTTGGTTGTGAGAAGAGTTTCCTGATGGATAGGATCAGTATTCAATCAACTTCCATTTGCGTGGGTCTAAGGTTGCATTTGCTATCTAGTCATCCACTGTCTTTCTGCCTTGATTTGCATAGTATATCCTCTTCAATATGACTGTATCAAATTTCTCTGAAATGTACATAATCATGTGCTGGAAAACCAGTGACGCAAGCTTTAGTCCACAATGGATGATCTCAGCCTCCTGCAAAAATTCATTCAATACCTTTTTCATGGAGAGGTCAAAGGTTGGTCGACTTCTGCTTTTATTGCAGTCACACTTAGTAAGAGGTTAAATCCCCAAGGAATGTCATTTATTGTTTAGACTATTGCATATATGTGTGATATGGTAGGCATGTCCCATCCTGCCTAATACCCGAGCAAGGTTGCCTAAGCAGCAAATGAAGAGGTGACTCTCACTTTGTAACTGCTGTTTGACCAAATGTGGATGTTTGAGTGGCATGAAATTCCACATACTACTTTTCAGGGTGTCTGTGCAATCCCCTTTTTTCCCAAATGCATCATAGAAATCATAGAGAAGTAGGGCTGGAAGGCACCTTAAGCGTTGTCTACTTCTGTACCCATTTCCCATTTCATTTGAAGGAACAATTTCCAAGTTTAAATTGGAATTTGGAATGTACCAACTCCTTTTCCCTCAAATTTTTAGTTCCAGTTCTGGGTTTAAGTAAAGCACTAACTCAGCCAAGCTTTACCAGTTTTAGGGTGTAAGCATGTGCTATTACATGATTTCATTTTATATAATTTCATGGTATCTCTGATTTTAGTTAGACTATAAAGTACAAATCTACACTGCCTTCTGCCTATGTCATAATTGTCATTGTCAACCAGAACCCCATCCTGGTGTGACAGAAGCTTTGTCAAACTTTTTCAGTGAAACTATATTGAATCCCAGGTGTGTAACAAAGCATTTTACAAAATGCACTTGTAGGTAACCGTTGTCTCTTTTTCTCTTTCTCAAAAAAAAAAAAAAAAAAAAAATTGGAAA